AGACTTTTTCATTAACTTTCTGATGCACATTGATGTCCTTATGCTATGTAGAAAGTTTGAACCAATTCCGACATCAATAATGAGTTTTACAGTATAAGCCAATTTTAAAAAAAATATCCATAGTTTTTTTTGAAAAATGGCTCAAAAAATCAACCTAAATTTTGATTACATTTTCTGACACATATTGATTTTATTATATGCTGTGTAAAAAGTTTGAGCTGATTTAAACTTAAATTTTTTCTAGTTATGGCCATTTTAAAACAATTTGCCAAAAATTCTAAAATACCCTGTACTATATTATATATAGCCCATGGTTTTTCCCAAAAAATGGCTCCAAAATTACCTCAAATTTTTATTATGTTTTCTAATACATATTGATGTCCTTATCAAAAAACAATTAAAGCCTCAGAAATTAGATGCTAGTGCTAAGCATCTCAGCAAGGCTGATGATTGTAGGAAAATCATTGCTGCTTCTGTTTACAGTCTTAAAGTTGAAGAAAGAAAGAAAGATTGAAATGCCTCAATCACTCAGTGAGAGAATGGAATTTTCAAATTTTAATACTAAAGAAGAGGAACTGTCTCCTGCTCAGTATGAAATAAATTAAGACAACACTGATATTATGATCATTGATTTGGAGAAAGATAAAAATAACGAGAATTGTGAAACTACTAAAGTAAGGTCGAGAAGAATGATTATAAATAAGTGATTGTAAATATCATTTATCGTCATCTCAATTCTTGTCTTAATAGGAAATTAACTTTGCTAACGAGACAAAGAAAGATAATTCAATAGGTTATTAGATCTATCACATGTTGCAAAAGTTATAATACTTATAATAATTTGTTGTAAACAAGGAAAAAGACGAGTGATATGGGATGATTATTTTTGTGGTTTCTTAACATCTGTGGACTTTACTCATGCTCAACCAATTATAAAATGATTCTTTTGATTCTAATTGAGGACAAATTGCAGACAAACTTCCTGTGGACTTTACTTATGCTCAACCAATTATAAAATGATTCTTTTGATTCTAATTGAGGACAAATTGCAGACAAGTTTCCAAGAAATCTTACTACAATGTTAAACTAAAGCTTTGCCACATAAAAGTGTTTCCATAGTTTCAAAGGATCTAAAATGATGTTTATGATGTGGTATGGATCATTGCTTCTTTTCTTTTTGCTAAAAAGTAAGCTGTTGTTAATACTTTTGCCATTACAAAATAAATTCAGTTAGCTATAGTTCAGATGAATGCACAGAAAGGTTTATGGAGCTTTCATTACTAAACTACACAGCAGAAAGAATAGGAATAGATCCACCTGAAATCTATGCTGGTGATAATACACTAAGAGTTCTTCAAGAGTATCAGTTCAATTGTTCATCTTCTAATA